TCCGACAAGCCTGCCGCTACCGGCGAAAAAGTAAGCGTGCATAAAAAAATGCCGCCACAATGGACCTTTTTCCAGTAAGCTACTGCGCATGCGTTCACTCCCGCTGTTGCCATTTTCGCAGGACACCAGGACGTGGTGCCTTGTGAAAATGGCGACAGCAACATTGTCAACATCTAGCTTCGCGCGTATTTAGTTTATTTTGACGCTTTGCTTTTTAGTATCAATAGTATAGGGTATAAAAAGCACCGCAAACCAATACAACAGCACGATGCCAACGTGTTTTAATGGGCGGGGGGCATGCTAAGCTGCTCTTCTATTGTAGTTTGCAGACAACTCACCAGATGGCGCTGGTTGCTCGAAAAAGGCGTGTCGAACTTCGACTCTCGTTTCAAAGAGATTGCGCCGCAGAATACAATACAATAAATACACAAGGTCCATTGCGGCGAAATAAAAATTTACCTTCTTTCGTGTCTTTGTTTACGCAATCAGTTGCATAAAAGAAGATATCAGAAAAACATGAAAAAGAAACTGCCGTGATAATCTGCGGAAAACACTGCCTCCACGCATGAAAAGATATATGCATGGCAAACGTTAGCCAACATGGCATCCGGCCGGATCATGAGCCGGAGGTATGACGCGTGAAACCGCCCTGTGGAATCCACGAGGAAAGTGTGCAAGAACGAGAGAGTGCCAGTGTTGCCTACCGATGCCACTGTGGTGCCTCCCAACTTGCTCCAGTCTGCAGTACTCCAGGGTCTCGGGCAGGGTCTTGGGCCAGTGGCCGGTGGCCTCCACAAAGGCCTGCACACGAAAAGGTAGCCTTTAACCTTCCAAGTGCCGGTTCCTTTTTTCCCACATGCTGAGCGCAAATTTTGTTCCCGGCAACACTGTAGCGTGCTCTGAGAAGGATATCTGTTCGTAAAAGACATACAGTGAAAGCTCATTAATTCACAACTCATTAATTCAAACTTTTGGATAATTCGAACCAGTCGCCATGGTCCGGTCACGCTGCGTAGAGGTACATGTGTAAAACAACCCGTTAATTCACACTCGAATCGTTTCTGGCACCGATAATTCAAATTGCGCGTTACCATGCGTGGAGCTTTTCCGGTCAAGCGACAGGCGGCGCGCCGAGAGCCGCGTCGCCGCGCGTCCCTAAATGCGGCAGGCGCGTTGCAGGAAACGCGAGTGCGTCGTCGGTATCCACTGCGGGCCAATAGGAATGCGCACATGGATATTTGGAACAATATCGCCAGGCGTTCAAGAGACCAATAGGGGCGCTCAGAGTGGTTTCTTTCGCGCTTTTCGAAGCCCTTCACGTCCCTTTGTTCTCCGCATTACCAGTTCTGCGGTTCTGTTTCCGTGCCTTGTTGATCCGGGCCTACTGTGTTTGAGCCGTTGCGCAATCGCCGATCCATTTGTGCTGGTGACTTAGCTGATGGTTTTGGCCGTAGGACCGGGCTATGTGCTACGTGAGACCGCGATGTCTTCATCGGGTATACTGGCCCAAGGAAAGTATCACGCCAAAACGCTCAAAGAGAAAATGGAAATTTTGCGTGAAGTAGACGCAGGAAAAGCGAGCAAGGTCGAGATTGCCAAGAAGCACGAGATCCCGAGGGGTATGTTGTAAACATACGTCCGTAACAGGAAAACAATGGCGGAAAAAAATACTTTGCTCTGTTAAACATCCGGATTTGGAGAAGGCGCTCATCACGTGGGTTAAAGAGATGAGAAGCCAAGATCTTCCTCTCAGCGGCCCCATCATCATGGTGAAGGCAGCAGAGTTCGCACTACCATTGAAACACCACGACTTCGCCGTGTCTGAGGGATGGTTCCATCGCTTTCGTCAGAGGCACGACCTCGACTTCTGTATCGTGTCTGGGGGGGGGGGGGGGACAGGCTAGAAGACGATTATTTGCGCGTTTCCTGGGGGGAAAAAGTTCGATATAGCCAATATTCTATTCATTATAAAATGTACTTTTTACATGTATTTTTATTTAAATTCTCTGCGAGTTCGATATCAACAATAATTCGTTGTACGTGGGTTCGTTCTAAACGGGTTTCACTGTATGCTATGTATTTGCTACCATAGAAAAACATATTTGCGGGCTTTATTTTTCACCATATTATTTAAGTCGCAAAACTCACAAAAATTGGGGTCTCATGAAAATTAAGTCGCTTACAGCATTTTAAAACACAAGATTTTGTGAAATATTTTTGTTCTTTCTGGGTGTTATTGTTTTCTCCAGAACTGCATTTTGTACAGTTAATTTTTTTAGCTTAACTTGCACTATGGATGTTCTAGTTCACATTAAAAAACAAAAATGTTGTGAATAGCAATTATTTTTCTTTCATCCATTTCCTAACAGGGTCACTTTTTTCTGGAGCTTGCTAAGCACAGTACAGTATAGACCACCTACAACGTAACCACTTATAGTGCAGGACCGGGTATAACGCGGCTTTTGTAAACCACCGGTTCGCCTCCCATAGAACTCCATGTAATTAAATACCGCTTAAAATGCAGGCGCGCGAAGGAAAATACCGGTTATAGTGCGGTTTCTGGAACAGCTCGCCGACCGCGCCGACGATTGGCGCAGCGAGCACGTTTCCCTGTGCGACACTAGACAACGGCGCCGACGACGCTACCCGCAAGCGGCACTCGCGGGGCAAGGAGGTTGCTCGAAGAAGCGGGGAGAAGCGAAGAGAGAGGCTTCAATTGCCATAGCGACGGAGGGACACACGCACGTGTCGTTCACGTGCGTGCGTCCCTCCGCTGCGTCTGAAAAAACCGCGACGACAGACCAATCACAGGTCGAGGAGAAGTGTTTGCGCGCGTTGCATGCCGGTCGCGGGCCGGCTTCTTCTATCCGCAAACATGGTGTCGGTAGTGATCGTCGACGTGGATGGCGTGGTGGAAGCCCATCGTTCCGCGTAAAAGAGCTATCCTTGACTGTGAATTTTCGTTGTGTGTCGCTATGATAACCCAGCACGTACTAGAAGGGAAGATCTATTTACTCGTGCGGCGATGTCGTGGCGGCACTCTCAAGACGGCAGAAATGCCCGTGTCGTCGTGGTTTGTTTACTTCGACTACAGTGGTGCTTTCTAAGCATTTGTGTTTTCGAACATTGCCCGGATTTCTTACTTAGAGCATTTCATGCGTGTGCTCAAGTTGAAGTTATTACTGGCGCATACCGTATAAGAGATGCAAATTTTCACGCGTTTTCATCACCGCAGAAAAGTGATTAAGGTTAGCAATCATGAACGCTCGCAACGTCCGTCCGCAACCCACAACGTCGTTAAAAGGCTGCG